CAGGACTGGGTGAATTCACTCATTTAGAATATACTAGTCCCTAAGAGCTTGGATAACGTGGTAGTCTTTGATAATTGGATACCGAACACTCACACGCTATCTGCTGAAATGTCTCAAAAAAAACTACTTCAAGCTTGGAAGCTAATAAGCAATTGGAGGGGGAAAGTAAATACTCTAGTCCAGTGGGGGCCAACCTTCTTGGCAGGCATGCCACAAATTTGCCCCCCACACCCTTGCTGCTGCCACTACAGTCCACTTCCCCCATCTGAGCTGCTGCTCTTTTGCAGGCTGTGTACAGCCAAGACTGTTTGGCCAGGACTGAAATGCAGCCATCTCATGCATGCGGCACAGCACAGACATGTGTAGAGCAGGAAGGAAAGAAAATCCTTGCTGAAATGATCAGAAAAAGTGACCTGTTTGGAATTTGGTCCTGAACAGCCCCCCAGTGAGATACCCCCTTCCCACTGCCTTCAGCATGGTGCCTCATGGCTCTGTTTTGTGGTGTTATCCATGACTCAGGAGGAGGGCAGGAGGGTGTTAGTACCTTCTCATGCTCCTCATTCCCTAGTGAGATATGGTGAGAGAGGCAGTGCTGGTCAGAAGCTTCATTCCTAGTCCCATTCCTTCCTTGGTCTCTGCTCATGTCCTTCAGCTCCACCCCATGGCCTCCTACTATCCCCATTTGGGAGTCCCTCCATGCATAGACCTGCTGCTGCTGCTCAATCCTAGTCTCGCAGGCCATGCCAGGTGGGGAAGCCCACATGATGATGGGAGAGGCAGACAATGGGGGCACTCACGCTCCTCCGTCCCTCACACAGGTTCGCCACAAAGGAGCAGAACGGTCTGCTCCTCTACAATGGGCGTTTCAATGAGAAGCACGATTTTGTGGCCCTGGAGATTGTCCATGAGCAGATCCAGCTCACCTTCTCAGCAGGTATGGAGTGCTCTGGCCCTGTTACCCCAGCGCCAGCTCCCCTCTACCCCTCTGGACCTCAGTGCCCCTTGACGCCAGTTCCCACCTTCCCCTTCTGCCCCTGGCTGTGGAGTTTCTGCTGGTTCCCAGCTCCCTGCCTTTTCTTCCCATTTCCCAGCTTCCTTTACCCCCTGGCTGCTTTTACCTTCTGAGCCCAGAGCTCCCTACACTCCCTATGCACCCCATACTCTCAGCTCTTTTCTCCCTGCTCACTTGGCAGGGAGCTCTGAGACTCTGTCTTCTGCCACGGAGCAGCAGCTCAGCCCTGAAACCCACGGTTTGCTTTGGGTACCTCAGCTGAAAGGGTGCTGGTTTTCGTGGTTGATGTAGTCTCTTTCTAAAGGCCCCTCCTTGGTAACCATCATCCCCTCCATCCTTCCGGCAGGGGAATCGACCACTGCGGTGTCCCCATTCATCCCAGGAGGTGTGAGCGATGGGCAGTGGCACACAGTCCAGCTGCAGTACTACAACAAGGTGAGCAGAGGCAGGGGAGGGCACACCGGCAGCTGCTGGTCAGCCATTGTCCAGTACCTGGCTGTCAAGCTAGGAGGACAGGAGGAAGTGGGGCAATAACCGTGGACCGAGGTTCAGTGTGACCCATCACATCTCTGGCTGAACACAGCACTAGGTTCCCTGCCAGAACTAGGGCAATGTCCATGGTCCTCTGATTGTATTACTTCACATCCCCTTCGTTCTCAGTTTGCTGCAGAGCTTTATGCTGATGTGGCCAGGGGATGGTGGGAGTTGTGGGCTGTGGCAAAGGGGCAGCTGGGGCTTGAGCACCAGAGAGGTGTAAGGGGACAATGTTTCCTCACAGCCTTGTGGCCTGAAGTGGGGTTACCCCAGTGCTCCTGTAGGGTGATGGTGCCAAGGGAGAGCTGGGCAGACACAGCCCCAGGAAGGCCCTGCAACTACCATAAGGCAACACCAAACTAGATCGTTGGGCCTGTCTTGCCCAGTACCTGCCTTCCGTGGCACCAGTTCAGGTCTCAAGTCCTTGTGGTCTAGTGTCTTGCTTCCTGCCACACCAGTTTGGACAAGGGTCCTGGCTCTCACAGTGACTGATGGGCACAGACAAAAGAGGAATTACATTGTAAAACACTGGGGTAAGGGCTGGTGGGGGATAGGACAGACCAGAGAGAGGGAGCAAGGGAGGGAGAAGATGGGGACAGATGGAGGGATGGGGTGAGTGTATAGAGATGGACAGACTTTTAAAAACCTTGATTATAAACATGTTAAAAACAAAGTGCCAAAGTGCAGAGCCCTCGCCCCCATGCTTGCAGGCCATGGGCTGGCCCCTACCTTGTCTTCTTCCACTCAATCCCAGCTGTTGGGTGCTGGCAGCTAAAAATTGCCTTTGGAGCAGTACCAGCGGCTCCTCCCTGGGACAATCTCCCATTCAGGGACAGCGCCAAAGTCACTGAGGACAGGGAAATGCTGGCTGTGCACAATGCATTTGGCCACAACACCTACTCATGGCAGGATCCTGCGTTTCATCTGCACCACTGCATTAGTTATGGGTCTCTGGTCTTCTCTCCACAGCCCATCATTGGGAAATCAGGGGTGCCCCAGGGTCCCTCGGAGCAGAAGGTTGCTGTGGTGACTGTGGACGACTGTGACACTTCTGTGGCTCTGAAGTTTGGCTCGGTCCTCGGCAACTATTCATGCTCGGCCCAGGGAACTCAGTCGGGCACCAAGAAGTAAGACTGAATTGGGGTTTCAGAGGGGTGGTGGACCAGGCGCTGCAGGGTGCCTGGAAGCAAGTTTTCAAAGCAAGACAGGCATCTCTGGGTGCCCCTTACTCCCGACTCACAGCTCCCTGCTAGCTCAGCTGTATGTGGTGGAGGGGAGGGTATCTCGTCAGTGGCTCAAGATGGCAATATGGGGTGGGGGCCCTGTCTCTTCAGTACTGTCTCCCCTTCCTAGGTCCCTGGACCTGACAGGCCCCCTGCTCCTGGGCGGCATCCCCAACCTGCCCGAGAGCTTCCCTGTGCGCAACCGGCAGTTCGTGGGCTGCATGCGGAACCTGCTGATTGACAACCAGGAGGTGGACATGGCTGATTTCATTGCTAACAACGGCACTGCGCCAGGTAGGGATTGCTCAGGCTTGGCCTGCTGTGTGGCCATGGGAACCAATGCAGTGGATGACAAGCCCTAGCTGGGGTTGAAACAGGGTGGTGCATGGGCTAGGGGCATAGCACATGACACTGTCAGGAGGCAGAGGTGGATGCATAGTGCCAGGCTGTGGGCACTGGATGCATTGGGCAGGCATGCGGTATCAGCTGCCTACAGTGGGCAGGGGAGGCTCTGCTATACCCAGGGCCAGCACTACAGGTGAGTGCACTTGTGCCCCATGTCAGCTGGTACAGGCATTGGGAAGGGCCCTCCCTTGCTGTTCTGCTGCTCCTTAGCTCCAGGAGTTGATCCCCACCAATCACTCCCCACCACCCCATGGTTCATCCCAGCTGTTTCTGGACTCCCCCAGGCTGCTCTGCCAAGAAGAATGTCTGTGACAGCAACACCTGCCACAACGGTGGCACCTGCGTCAACCAGTGGGACTCGTTCAGCTGTGAGTGCCCCCTGGGCTTTGGAGGCAAGACCTGCAAGCAAGGTAGGTGTTGCTGCCTCCCACGCTTTGGACCAAGGAGGCCTGAATCTGGGTCAGTGGAGAAGATACCAGGGGTCCCGTGAATGAAGACAGGAGCTGATTGCCCCTGGGATCTGTGCCCCCAGCAGAGCCCTTCTAGACTGATGCTGAGGGAAGTGCAGGAGCTGGGATAGTGAGGGGCATCCCAAAATATTAAAAACCAAAACGTGTGGGTGAGCAGAACCCAACACTTCTCAGACCTTTCCAGCTGATGGAAGAGTACCCCCCCCACGCCAAAAAAATATGCTTTTTTGTTGAAAAAAGGTGTTGCACATTTTCCTCTTATTTCTGGTTTATTTGAAAAAAAATTAAACAATTTCTAAACAAAAAATTGTTTCTAATTGGGAAGCCAAAGGGCTCTGACAGGTTTGGAATTGTCTTTCCCAGAATGTCATTTTTCTGGAGTGGAGAATTAGGGAGGGGGAAAAAAGGACAAATTGTAATGTAGTTAAAACTGGCTCCTTGCTTGGGGAGGGAGAGGGATGGCAGGGGCTGTCACCCCTCTGCCCCCCTCCCAAAACCAGCTTTCTCTCCAGCTGCTGCTGGCTTTTGCTTTGTTGGAGGGTGGAGGGAGGGGGTGATTCTTATGCTAGGCAGAGTGAAAGGCTAATGTGTCACAGTGAGATCCCCACTCGCCCTGGTGGAGATGTTGCCCCCAGCTCTGGGAATTGATGTGAGTAGGGTACTGTGGCCTGTGGGATCAGACCCCAAACAAGCCTGCAGTTCACCCAGAGCCCTATGTGGCTCCCAAGGTCATGCCCTTCTGGAGTCCATTCAGGGCAGGAGCCAACCCCCCCCCCGGGCTCATGGTATTTCTTTGTGCCTGGCAGAGATGGCAAGTCCCCAGCGCTTCCTAGGAAACAGCCTAGTGGCTTGGAGCAACCTGGCCATCACCATCACACTGCCCTGGCATATTGGGCTCATGTTCCGCACCCGCCAGGCCAGTGGCATCCTCCTGAGAGCCATCGCTGGACAACTGTCCACCATCGCCCTGCAGGTAGGTGTAATGGGGGAGCACTACTGTGTAGAGAGGATGGGCAGGAATCACCCTGCCTGCAGGGGCTTCTCTGGTGGCTGCAAGAGCTCCATGGGAGGATGGAAGGGGTGTGTTTTGTTGCCCAGGGTGGGGAGTAAGATCCACACCCCTTGTCTAAGGGAGCACAATTGCCTCCCTTTCCTGGCATCACCCAGGCCAGTCAAGCAGCGCTGTGCTTGGGTGCTAGCTCCCAGCAGAGTGCAGGGCCTGGATACTGCTCTGGGTGATTTGCAACAGCAAGAGAGAGCAGATTCCTTTCTATGATGGAAATTCTGCGCCTGCTCTGGACTTCCCTGCGCAGGTGATGAGAAAAGTGGCCCCACACATTCCCCATGTGTCCCTGTCAGCCTCTGAGCAGCTGCCCTGTGGATTCCCCAGCCCATCTTAGGATCAGTGCAGGTGGGCCCCACTAGGCCTTTTCCCAGGTGCCCCAGCCTCTGTCTGGCCGCTGGGTGACATGGTGGTGCGCTGTCTTTAAGTGCCACCTCCCGGCCAGAATGTGTTGCAGCATCTGGGAATCCCAGCTGGGGATACCAGGATGCAGTATCTGTCCGTCTGCCAGTGTCTTCATGGACCAGACCACAGTACACATGTGGCCTAATCCCCACCCCCTCAATCCCACCGAAGAGGTTGGGAGTCCTGTTCTCACCTAGGCCTGTCCTTCTCTCATCTCCAGCTGAATGAAGGCAACCTGTTGATGAGCTTCCACCGGGCCAGTAGCCGTGTCTCGATGCTGCGGCTGCACCAGGTGAAGGTGAATGACGGTGACTGGCACCATTTGCAGCTGGAGCTACGGAGCAGCAAGGACAGTCAGGAGTCCAGGTGTCTGGCTGTCATGGCCTTGGACTATGGCCTCCACCAGGTGCGGGATAGGGTGGGGCAGGGCAGGGTGAACTAGTTTTGGAGCCAATCATAAAGGAGCAGAGTGGGGAAGAAGCAATAGGAGAGAGCAGGCATGGGGTTGTTGCTGTTATGTTTGACTGGTTTTGGTTGCTTAAAAATTGAGCATTCATTTTAGTGCTGATGACAGTAGGATTGAGAGTACGAGAGACGCCCAGACCTCCACACAGCACCTTCCCATTCCAGCCTCGGGCTTTCTGCCTTGCTCTGCCCAGAGGTGTGTTTGCTGTCCCCAAGTTGCGGTGCTGAGTGGAGGATGTCTGGTTATCCTATGCTTCTGTGCTTTGCTGGTCACCATGTGTGGCTGGGAACGAATATTATCCCGTCCTGTTGCTGCTACTGTCCGGGACTTTTTTACTTTTCTCAGAAGTACTGGGTGTTAGCTGCAGCCAAGACTGAGGATTTTGACTGGGAGGTGCCATTGCTTCTGCTGGGGCTTAAAAACCCAAGAGGTTCCTTATTATAGAGGGTGTTGCCCCTCTGCTCAGGGTCAGACCAATCCCCACATTCAGGATCAGGAAAGAGTTTTACCTAGAAGTGCACCAATATATCGGTCCATATTGCATTGGCACTGAAAAAAGGAAAATTGAGATTATTGGCAATCGACTTTTTTTTGGCCGGTATAGCCGATAATGTCATCAATAAATGATGTGCGCATGTGCGCAGCTGGAGTATGCACGCAGCCAGGAGTGCAGCCCAGCAGCTTGGAGAGCAGCGACTGGCCAGTAAGTCTGTTTGGGGGAAGGGGCGTGGGCGGCAGATGGAGGCCCCCACAGTGAAGGAGGGAGTGGGGCTGGGACAGTCGCAGGTGCTGCCCAGGCAGGGTGGAGCAGGGTGCAGGATGAAGCCACAGGCAGCTTTTCTGGGTGGGGAGGGAGAGTGGCTCCTGCCACTGCATGCACCCCCAGGACAGGCATAGGGGGTATGCGTCCCCCGGATTTGTGCACGGGGTGAGGGCAGGCTGCCCACTGTGAGCTCAGGACTGGTGGCTCTAATGGCTTCTTCCCACCGGGGGGCTGGGCTGGAGTTGCGAGCAGGGGTGGGGTGGGTGGCAGCAGTGCTGGGAGGGGGAGACTACGGGGCGGCTACAGCGAATTTTGGGGTAGCTGTAGCCCACTCCATAGCCCCCCCTTCCAGCACTACTGCCACCTGCCCTGCCCCTGTTCTGAGCACAGCCCCAGCCCAGTCACCATCTCAGGAAGAGACCAGCACAGCCCCTGGCCCCGATCCCTCAGCAGGCAGCCCGCCCTCACCGTGCACATAAATCCGGAGGGCACATGCCTCCCCCAGAGGCACGCACAGTGGCAGAAGCCATGTCCCCCTTCTCTCCCCCCCCCTGGACACCCTGCTCTGTCCTGCTCCCTGCTCTGCCCTGGCTGGGCAGCGCCTGCCCCGGCTGGGCAGCGCCTGCCCCAGCATCATGCTCTCCCTCATCGTGGGGGCCTCAATCTCCCCCACTTACGCCCCTTCCCTCCCCCACGCCCCTTCCTCCCTGCAGACTTGCTGGATGTTGCTCTCCAAGCTGCCGGGCTGCATATTGGAGGTGACTGGACAGGCACCTTCCTGGGGTCTTATGACCCCTCCCACCCCCAGTGCTCATTTCTGCCCCTGGCAGGGGGTTGGACTCGATGATCTGTCTAGGTCCCTTCCGACTCATTGATTCTATTGGCAATTGGATTAGTATTGGCCAATACAGCTAATAATCGGCCATCAGTATTGATCAAAAAAAATCTTTAGCAGTGCACTTCAATTTTACTCCACCCTCAGAGCAGCATGGACTGTGGTAATTATTGCCTTCCTTTGTAGAGGGAGACAAGTTCCACTTCCTTGGATCTCTCAAACGTATTTTAACAAACTGCTTCCTGTCCTTGCAGCAGCAGGACATTGACAGTGCCCTCACCCCCCTGCTTTACTTGTGACAAATTAAGGTGCATTTGTGAGGTCTTGAGCTTTGTGCCTGGTACATAGGTGGGAGGGTTGTTCCCAGAGTTGTTAAGAACAAGTTAGACAAACGTTTGTCCAAGATGGTGTAGACAGAATGACCCTGCCTCGAGCAGGAATTTGGACTAAATGGCCTCCTGAGGTCCCTCCCAGTCCTACTTCTCTATGACTTTATAATTTGTCTGGAGTCTGACCCATAGTGCCCATGCTCTTCCAGCCTGGGGGCCCCTCTGATGCAGGAACCACAACCACAGATGGTTTCTCACAGTGTAGAGATGAATCAGATGAACCCACCAGGTGCTCATCTGCTGCTGCGTCTCTCCCACAGGTGGTGGAGGACATCAGCTGTGAGCTGCATGGGCTGAAGCTGCGTAACCTGAGCGTGGGTGGTGTAGCAGGCGAGTTGGGCGAGGTGCATCAGGGCTTCCGTGGCTGCATGCAGGTATTGGAGGATGGTCTCTGGGGGGTCATGTTGGGGTTCAAGTCCTGGTCAGAGTCCCAAAGAGACACAATGAGCTAGTTGGCTGGGACAGGGAGGTCTGCAAGGGGCTGGGCAGTGTCCTTATTATAGTGCCTGTGTTTAGAAATGGGGAATCATCCCAGAATCGCACAGCAGTTCAGCAGAAGACACAGGACTAGTACCCAAGGTTCCTGGGTCCCAGTTCTATACGCTAACCCATAGGCAGTGCTATCCCAGCTCCTTTGCTGGCTGGATTACACAATGGGAACCCCAGGCTGCTTTGATCGGGGAGGGGGAACCTCAGCTCAGCTGGGCAAGGGATTCCTTGGTCCTTGTGCCCTTGCAGGGTGTGCGGATCGGGGAGACATCGGCTAGTGCTGTGGCCCTGAATGTGAACCAGGCTGAGAGGGTGAACATGGAGCGTGGCTGCAGCATCCCGGACCCGTGCGACTCAAACCCCTGCCCAGACAACAGCTACTGCAGTGATGACTGGGACAGCTACTCCTGCAGCTGCGACCCAGGTGAGGGAAGGGCCAGACATGCTAGGAGGAGCACAGGGACACAAACTCCTGGCTTACTGGGGATTCCTGTACATGGGTTCTGGTCGAACCCCACCTGCGGGGTCAGGAAGGACACCCCTCCCTTGCGCCCCCTACCCAAATGGGACCATGGCACCCAGGCTGCTTAGGTTTAGCTGGTCCTATCCCATCCAGCCAACCCTGGGAGTGCAGGGAAGCATGAGTCTCTGGCTTTGGATGGGGAAAGCATCCATTTTGCTTCATCTCAGTCTAAGCCTGCTCTTCCCCCCCATAAAGTAGTTCTGTCAGAGACCAGGCATCTTACTTGTACCCCATCTCTTTGGCTGCAAGCACTACATTTTACCTGTTCCCAGTGATGTGGGGGTGACCTGGGGCTGATGTAGCTGGGAACAAGGGTGACAGAAACCCCGGCAGCATCCTTCTTTCTGCTCCAGGTTACTATGGAGATAACTGTGTGAACGTATGCTCCCTCAATCCCTGTGAGCACCAGTCTGTGTGCACCCGCAAGCCCAGCTCCTCACATGGCTACACGTGCGAGTGCCCCCACAACTATTTCGGGCCCTACTGTGAAAACAAGTGAGTCACCAAGCGTGTATGGGGGCAGGGGCATTTGCATGTGCTGTATGTATGTGCGCAATGAACCTGCAAGGGGCATGCAAGAGAGAATGTGAAAGAAATGTGCAGGGCAGTCTGGGGAAGCGGAGCATGCACACCCATGTAGTCAGCCCATGCATGTGCCATGTGTCTGGAGAGTTGGTGTCAGTGTGGTGAGTACCATGTCTCTGAGTGGGCTGGGTGTGCAGGGCTGGGTGTGTACAGGGTTGGCATGTGGAGCAATGTGGTGCCTGTATCTATATGTAATGATGGTGATGTCTGCTCTGTGGTAGGATTGACCAGCCATGCCCACGGGGATGGTGGGGGCACCCCATGTGTGGCCCCTGCAACTGTGACATCAGCAAAGGCTTTGATTCGGACTGTAACAAAACTACTGGGGAGTGTCGCTGCAAGGTAAGCGTGAGGGCTGGAGAGTGGGAGTGGGTTGGGGATATGCCAATAGATGGTAAGCATGGGAGGAGGGGACTGGGATGGGAATACAGCACTGCAGGGTCCAGGGCCTCCCTGTCTCCCATCTTGCTCTGGTTGTGCTGCGTGTATTGGCTGCACTCTCCCTGGGTGCTGAGAAACTGAGAACAGGGATTTCTGTTCCACACCAGGAACTCAGCAGATGGGAGTGAGAGAGGGAGGGAGGGCTTGGGATGGAGTGTGAACTACCCATGTGATGCAGCTGTGAGAGGCAAATATAATCTCAGACTGGATCAGGGAGGATCTATGCAGCAGATGGAGGGACATATTAGCACCATTGTACAGGACCTCGTAAAACTTCATCTGGAGTATAGGGTACAGTTTGTGTCACCCCACTTCAAGAAACATAAATTCAGATTGCAGGAAGTGCCAAGAAGGACTTCTGGGTTGATGAGAGTGACAAAGGCCAGACACGCAAGAGAAGACTGGAAGCACATGGTGTGTTCAGCTTGGCAACACAAAAGCTGAGGGGGGATAAGGACTGATTTCTATACATTAGAAATAATGCCAGGGATGGAGAGGAGCTCTTTAAGGTCCAGGACAATATTGGAACAAGAACAATGTATATAAATTGGCCATGAATACATTTGGACCAGAAATTAGGCTTCTAGCCACGTGTGGGGTGAGGTTCTGGAACAGCCTCCCAAGAGCCTTGTGGGCAAACGTTACTTTGAACACAGAGCTTGATGGGTCTGTAAATAGGATTGAGGGATGTGGCTGTCTCAGGAATACCAGGGGGCTAGACTCAGTGATCCAGTAAGTCCCTGTCACTCCTCTGTTTCCAAATAGAGACCTTCATCAGCAACCTCAGGTATAGGGCCAAGGACTGGTTGGGTGAGGGTTAACTGAATTCCCTTCTCCTCAGAGAGAGGTCCTCAGGACAGGGGGGAGCAAGGATACCTTTCCCTGTTGTCACCTGTGCTGTACTTGATCTGTAGATGAGATATGCAGTTCCCACTTCTCTTTGCCCTCCCTTTGTCCTGGGGCTGATGTCCTGTGTTTCCTTGTGCCCCCAGGAAAATCACTACCGCCCACTGGACAGCAACTCCTGCCTGCTGTGTGATTGCTACCCCACAGGCTCATTGTCACGTCTTTGTGACATGGAAACGGGCCAGTGCCAGTGCAAGCCGGGTGTCATCGGGCGCCGCTGTGACCACTGCGATAACCCCTTTGCTGAGGTTACCACCAACGGCTGTGAAGGTTGGCACAGCCCCAGAGGCGGGGGGCGCGTATTGGAGCACAAGCACCATTTGTGATGTAGGGGAAGCAGGAGATGGATCTCAGCAGCAAACAGGGCTGTGAAGAGTCAGGAGGACTGAACGCCTCTTCCTAGTTGGATGGCTTTGTCCATTTTGCTGGGATTGGAAGACGGAAGTGTCTAGTGGCAGTAGGAGATGTGGCCCCTGGGCTGGCTCTGGTCCCCCCCTCCCCCGCCCCACATGTATCCTTGCTCTTTGGGTATAGCAAAGTAGCCTCCTGCCCTCCACCTCCCCTGCCATGGAGGATAAGTTGCATGGAGCTCTTTGGATGCAGAGAGGTACACCTAGCCCAGAAGTGGCGAATGCCAGCAAGGGCCTTGGTGGGGTGGGCCCTGGAACATAGAAATGTTCCACCCCAAGTTCTGCTGTTGAGCCTTGGAGCTCTGGGCTTCTCCATTGCTCTGGGTGGTCTCCTGTCCCCTCCATCCCTTGTAACTCAGACTCCCATATGGGATCTTAATGTCTGCCTGCACCTCGGCAGGCCAGTATCGCTGTGGGAGCTGTGATTGGGATACTCCAGCTGTGGCTTTCCTGAAGGCATGACTAGATGGGGCTGCTCCCAACCTGTGAGCCTTCATATTGCTCAATGTGTCCCTGGGTTTCTCAAAGCAGTGTGGCCCCGGCCACCACACTGATGCTGCCTCTTTGCCTTTCAGTGAACTATGACAGCTGCCCTCGTGCCATAGAAGCCAACATCTGGTGGCCCCGTACCCGCTTTGGCCTTCCAGCTGCAGCACCTTGCCCCAAAGGATCTTTTGGTAACTGTGTGCTGCTGTGCCATGAGGAAGTGGTGCTAGGGTGGGTGCTGCACCACTGTGCTGTACACAGGGGCCACAGTCATAGTGTGACACTCCAGGCCTTTCTGCATATGCAGGGCTCCTGGTGGCCAGGACAGCTGAAGCGTTGCAGTATGGTGCTGGCTTGGTTTACTGCCTCTGTGCCATGCTAATGCTGCTGTATGCTCAGAGAGGCAGTAGCCTGGCACCACGTGAGCCTGGCAACATCTGGCAGGGCTGTTGTGAGGGCATGATATTCTCCACGGTGACCTCTCTCTCCTCCCTTCCAGGGACAGCTGTGCGGCACTGTGATGAGCACAAAGGCTGGCTGGCTCCCAACCTCTTCAACTGCACCTCGCTGACCTTTGCCGAGCTCAAGAGCTTTGTAAGTGGTGTCTTCCCTGTTGGAGACAGATCTCAGCCCCAGATTTAGGGACCCCAAAACCCAGCCTAGACAGGGACTGCGCTGTCAGGTTATACCTGTGCTTCTCATTCATATAGAGGTGGGGACTATGGAGACTTACAACCACCAGCATTCAGTGCTGTGACTGGATAAGAGAGGCCCAGCTATGGCACTCGGAATCGGATGGAGCGGTGCCTGCTGGGAACTCTGGCCTCAACCAGTTACACCTTGGTTCAGAGAGAGAAGGAGCAGTGCATGCTCCATGGGCTGCATCTCACATCAGTGGGGAAGGGCTTTGGTGGTCCCCCTTAGTAACCCATGTCATGGCACAGCCTGGTAGAAGAGCCAGGCTGTGCAGTGCTGCCATGATCAGGGTGCTCTGGGGTGATGGGGCTCTTATTCAGTAGCTCCCTGGAAGGGTGTAAGGGCACAAGAAGGAAGAAGATGTGGTCCCTGTGGCTGTACCTGGGAGCAGTGCACACTGCGAGATGCCACTCAGTGGTATTTCCAAATGTAGGCAGCCTCAGCCCTAACCCCAATGGGCCCCCAGCCTCTCTGCCAAGCTCCCTCTCCCCACCCCCGGCTGCCAAGGGGCTGAGGCACGGTGCTCAGCCTTGGCACTGAGCTGCGTGTTGCTTGGCCCACAGGCAGAGCGGCTGCTGAGGAATGAGTCATTCCTGGACACAGGGCAGTCTCAGCAGGTGGCCTTGCAGCTGCACAATGCCACCCAGCACACAGACGGCTACTTTGGCAGTGACATCAAGGTGGCCTACCAGCTCTCTGCTCGGCTCCTGGAGCACGAAAGTACTCAGCAGGGCTTTGGCCTGGCTGCCACACAGGATGTCCACTTCACGGAGGTAACAACAGGGCAGGGCAGCCAAGAGACTATGTGTTAAGGGACCTCAGAGGAATGGAGCGGAGGCAGAACCCATTGGCATGGGGAAGCAGTGCCAGCGCTTGGAGGGGCAGCAGGCGGCACCTCCCCAGTCAGAGCATCCCTGGTGCCATCCACTTGTGGGCAAAAGGCTGTGAATCAAGGACAATCCTAGTGGTTGGAGCAGACGTGGTGCATGGGGGAAGCCTCAGCAGGGCATTGTTTCATACAACCTTTCCTCAAAGCAAGGGGATATGAGGAGGGAGCTGGGTATTCCTTTTTGGCCCACATCATGGCGTAGCCATACGGGAGAGCAAGGGTGCTCTGAGGCACTGGGTGCGGACTGGGCTTTACTCCCCAGCTGGGTGTCTTGGTGAGAGGGCTCAAGAAACAAAACATCCAGGAGAAACAGGAGGCGGGTGAAGCTGCAGAGGGCTCAGAGGAGACAGTTCAGCAGTGCAGGAAGTATAAACTTTGGGGCATAGTGTCCATACCTGGGGACAGGCTAGTGGTCCAGGCTGGCTTGGATAAGCTTAGTAAGTGGGCAGATGCAAACCTGATGATGTTCAATACCGATAAATGTAAGGTACTCCACCTCGGGGAGTATGCCCGCAGCATACTTATAGGCTTGACAGTGCTACGCTTGCTAGCATCACTGCTGAAAGAGACTTGGGGGTCATGATTGACCACAAGATGAACATGAGCCACGAATGCGATGTTGCAGCTGTTAAAGCAAACAAAACCATGGCTTGCATCCATAGATGCTTCTCACGTAAATCCCAGGATGTCGTCCTTCCGCTGTAGTTGGTCTTGGTGAGGCCGCAGCTGGAGTACTGCATCCAATTCTGGGTTCCTCAATTCAAGAAGGATGTGGAGAAGCTTGAGAGAGTCCAGATGAGAGCCACGCACATGATCAGAGGGCAGGAAAACAGGCCTTACAAAGAGAGGCTGAGAGCCATGGGACGCTTCAGTCTGGAAGAGCGCAGGCTCAGGGGGGACCTGGCTGCTGCTTATAAGTACACAAGGGGTGTACATCAGGATCTGGGAGAGCGTCTGTTCACCAGAGCGCCACTAGGAAAAGCAAGGACCAGTGGTCATAAACTCCTACAAGACCATTTTAAGCTGGACATAAGAAAACATTTCTTTACTGTCTGAGCCCCCAGGACCTGGAATAGACTCTCTCCAGGTGTGGTGCAGGCACCTACTCTGGACTCATTCAAGAAACGCTTGGAGGCTTACCTTGCTGGGGTCCTTTGACCCTAGCTGACTTCCTGCCCCTGGGGCAGGGAGCTGGACTTGATCTTCGAGGTCCCTTCCAGCCCTAACATCTAGGAAATCTATGAGGTCCTGGGATCATCTGGGCTCAGGCTGCCACTGGATGTTGTGGACATCCTAGTCTGGGGCAGGCTGGGAGTGCTGGAGGCTTTACCCCATTTCAGTTTGTGGGCTCCCCACGCTTCCATGTGAAGCAGCTAGCTAGGGAGTTAGGGTTGTGTACAGCAGCTCCACTTAGATTAGGGGAGGGGTGGTTCCCTGGGGAGACCTGTGAAGCATCCTGCATTTCAGGCCATAGCAACCAGGTACCAGGGTCATAGACATGCTATAAATACAAGGTTCCCCCATTCCTGTGTGGGTGGATGGATCCCTACGTGAAGTGCTCTGAGGACGTGGTGATGGCTGAAAGCCCTGCATGCAGCTGATGAGACATGAGCCCCTGCCTGGAGCTCTGTTCAAAGCAGGACCATCCCCAACTAGATCATTCCAGCCAGGGCTTTGTCAAGCCAGGCCTTAAAGTCCTCCAAGAATGGAGTTTCCACCACCTCTCTATGTAACCTGTTGCAGTGCTTCGCCACCCTCCTAGAGAGAGAGATTTTCCTAATATCCAATCTAAACCTCCCCTGCTGCACCTTAAGACCATTGCGTCTTAATCTGCCACCACTGAGAACAGTCCAGCTCCATCCTCTT